CAACTCGGAATATTCGGTTTCAGAAAGGCTGATAACAATTAGTTCAGTCAACCCGGAGTTGCTTTAACCCCAAGTTAAGCGCGCGCACGAGGATACATAAAGCCCTGATTAGTGGAGCACAGATTAAGCGAGTCACCATGGAGACGGAGGGAAAGAAGGTGCGGTCAATGTATGTCACAGCGCTTGAGGCCGAAATTCCGATGGCAGCATATGCCGATAACATGCAAATTTTGCGGAAAAAAAGTAACACAGCCTCAGCTGCAAAAGAAAGGGAGCATGCATGGCAAAACATAGCCGATAGAGTCAATGCGTGAGTGTTAATTTAAACATTGATCGAGGGATTTCCACCCATTTAACACGTTATTTTATTATATTTTTTATTTTTTATTTCATACATTTTATTTTGTGATGTGACGTGAGCGCAGGTGCAACCCAACAGGCCCCAAACGTTCCTGGCAGCAAGTAAAAATGAAATATAAAAATATAGTCCAAACAGGTAAGGTGTAATTGTATTATGAGCCATAGTGCTTGGTCTGTTTGTCCGATGTAAATCAATTGCAGTTAGAGGCTACATTAATTTTCTTTCTGTAAGCACTTATTGAAATTATCTGAGCACATTACAAGTACATATTTGCTTACTCTGTATGCTCAAATGTGGCCCGTTATAGCCAACAGAAAAAAAGCGGAGGCCCGAAAAACAGGTGGGGGTCCTCCACCACCACCACTCACAGAGGCTGAGCAGTTGGCTTCCACATTTGTGATAATGTTGGCAGCATCACATATGATCTTCACAGTGCAGAGAACACAAATTAGCATCCATTACTATAATGAAATAATTTGTTAGTTTGAAATGCTACAGGGAACTATGTACCTGTACATTAATGCTGTGGAAAGACTTCCTGTTCACATAGTCTCCTTCATTTACTGAAGGAGCAATGATTGGAATGTGAGTACCATCTATACAGCCAATCACGCCTGGGAACCGTGAGAATAAATGTAAAATTTAAGTAGTAGTTCAAGTATCACCACATCATGAATTAAGTTTTGTTCATCCTGATACCTGCAATTTTGTGGCATCCCTCTTTGATAAATCTTGTGGGTCTATGACCGGGGAACACCACAGACGAGTACAGGAGACGTTTCAGTGCAACTGTAACATTCCTGACTGCCCGACAGACGGTAGCCTTGGAAACGTGCTCAGCGTCACCAATATTATACAGAAAGCTCCCGTTTGCAAAAAACCGAAGTGCAATACAAATAATATGTACAGAACTGAGAGGATGTCCGCGATGTGTCACATGAGCAATATTAGGCCTGAGGATGTTATTCAAATAACTTATAGATTGTGCTGAAAAACGGTAACGTTCACACAGGAAATCATCAGGAAATGATAAAATGTCCAAATGCGCTCTAATCACTCTCTCCCGGCGGAGAGCTCTGCGGAGAATTTGGGCTTCAACATCTACTGGCTCTTCAAGGAAGGAGCACGCCATGTCTGACACTTCCTACAGTCAGGTTTCTGACAAAGAGGCGGAGAACGTCAGGGTTAGTTGAAGCTAACCTGCTAGGGGGCAGGTTAGCTTCACGGAGTGTGTCGTCATAGTAACTCACTCAGAATTAATCTAAACTCGCTTTGTGAAACCGGAAACCCAGAGTTTCCGTTAACTCAGGGTATACTTACTCAGAGTTTGCTCTAAACCGGCTTCCTGAAATAGGGCCCAGTAGCCTGAGTTTAGAAATGTTTCTTAGATGATAAAAACAGTTCCGGACAAGTTGTTTAGAGTGTTTCTCAAGAGACATCGAACTGTCAAATATAATACCTAAGTTTCTGAGACTCGACTGAAATGAAGGGTCTAAAAAACTGATATGCTGCCTAATTTCTGAGAGCATGTGATCAGGTGCAATAATCAAAGTTTCTGTTTTATCTGCATTTATCTGAAGGAAACTGTCATTTAACCATTGTTTGATTTCTGACAGACAATTATTTAAATAAGACAATTTATACAACTCAGAAGCTTTGAAAGAACAGTACAACTGAATGTCATCAGCATAGAGATGATAAGAAATATTATTGTAACGTCTGATAATGTGGCCTAGAGGGAGGATATACAGCAAAAAGAGAATAGGACCTAAAACAGATCCTTGAGGTACCCCAGAAGACAGAACTGATGTTTCCGACAGCACATGATTTATACAGACAGTAAAGGATCTCTCAGATAGATACGACATAAACCATTTTAAAACAACGCCAGTAATCCCAAACAAGTCCTTCAGCCTATTTATCATGATGCTGTGATCAACAGTATCAAAAGCAGAGCTGAGATCCAACATAACCAGAACAGTGTACTCTCCAGAGTCTGCTGCCATCAGAATGTCACTAGACACTTTAAGCAAAGCGGTTTCAGTGGAGTGCAATTTGCGGAAACCAGACTGGAAAATGTCCAGAACATTGTTCTTTTCCAAAAAGTTGTTAAGTTGTTCTGCAACTATTTTTTCCAAGATCTTTGACACCAATGGTAGTTTTGATATTGGCCTGTAACTGCTTGGAAGAGATGGATCCAAATTTGGTTTCTTTAACATTGGTTCAACAATAGCTTGTTTAAAATAGCTAGGAACTGAGCCAGTATAAAGAGAAGTATTAATTATTTCCAGAATACAGGGGCCAATAGAATCAAACACACTAATGAAATGATGTTCCTTTACTTGTTTAACAGCAACATTTTCAAACACCTTTGAAACCACAGGTAATACAGGTAACAGGTCTGTACCCAAAGTTAATTCTGTTCATCTGGACTTTTCAGTGGGAGAAACGTTTCATCATCATCAGGCGACTTCTTCAGTCTCAGCTGACTGCAGGTTTCAACCTTATAAACAGGACATTTGTACAATGACTGAAGCCAGCCCACTGAGGAACAATGGGCTGGGAGGTCAGTTAATGATCATTAATATGCAAGTTTTCAATTCAATTAAATTCTATTTATACAGCACCAAATCACAACAACAGTCGCCTCAAGGTACTTTATACTGTAAGGTATAAAATACTATAAACAGAAAAACAACAAAAATCATAATGAGCAAGCGCTTTGGAAACACTGGGAAGGAAAACCTGCAGGGGTGGCTATCTGCCCCGAGCTGTGAATGAATCACTCAATGAAATATGGGAACGTATGGAACGCTGCACTGAGGTCTAGCAGGACAAGCACAGAGATGAGTCCACTGTCAGAGGCCATAAGATCATTTGTAACCTTCACTAAAGCTGTTTCTGTGCTGTGATGAGCTCTGAAACCTGACTGAAACTCTTCAAATAAACCTCTGCAGATGATCTGTTAGCTGTTTGACAACTACTCTTTCAAGGATGTTTGATATGAAAGGAAGGTTGGAGATTGGCCTATAATTATTGAGCAGTCTTGTATAGGGATGGGTATCGAAACCCGGTTCTTGTTGAGAACCGGTTCCCACTGTTTCAGTTCCTTGGAATTGTTTGCCATTTTTGCAAACGATTCCCTTATCGATTCCAGTCGCCCCGAATGACGTCACCACGTTGCGGAGCGTCATTTACCTGGCAGGAAACACGGCGCCTAAACGGCTCAAACGCTCAAAAGTTTGGTTATACTTTACGAGAACGGATGACAACAGGGCAACTTGCAATACTTGCAAAGTAGATGTTTAAGGGAGGAAACACTATGAATATGCAAAAGCATTTGCTCACAAAACACGCGATGACCTTAAATGAATGTCGTGTTTTTAATTCCACTCCGGACTCGTGAATCTCAACCCAGCAGCAGCGGTAACGTTTGCACGTCCTCTCCCGTTAATGCGGCAGGTAAATAATCAACAACAGTGCATATTATGTTAGCGCGATCTGCCTTATTACAAAACCATTACTGTGCATTTAGTGACCATGATGAGACAGAGTCTGGCTCAGATGCTGGCAGTTCTCGCTGCAGTCTGCCCGTAGCGTCTCCTTTCAGGCCAGGATAGACGAATGTCACCGAGCAGAGACTCAGTTTGTGGTCAAAGGCTTGCACCCGTTTGCCACAGCAGATGATTTTCAGTAAGTGAATGTGTGTAATTGTAGGCAGGAACATTACTGTTGCGTAATTGCTACAGAATAATTTATGTTAAACTTTGTTATTGCTACAGAAGAATATTTATTTTATTATTTTACATTTACATTTTGTTTTCCTGGGGACCCTGTGACACCCCATTGAAGAGCCGCAGGCTGGATCTCTTAAGATCTCACTGTTGGGTTTGTAAGGCCATGTTACTCCTAAATTTCTATCTTGTTCAAAGAGAAGATATAAAACAAAGTTCTAAGCTAATCAACCTTAGTGTTCTCCTTTTTAAAAATAATCAATAAAGAATCGAATTGTTAAACAGAATCGAAACTGGAATTGGAATCGTGAAAATCAATACCCATCCCTAGTCTCGTAGGATTGAGGTGTAGTAGACACACTGATGTTTTGGAGAAAGTCATTACTTAAGTTAACTCAGGAAGAAAGATTGGAGAAAGAGTCTAAAGAAGAATAAGCAGTCTACAGACTTCTGTTACGGCAGCTCTGCGCAGTAGTTACTTTTGAAGGAATAATATTATATTCTGTATATTCCTCATGTTGTTTACTTTGTTCTTTTTAATCGTACTATGTGATTGTGACTATCACATCATATTTTGCATCTAAATATCATGTCACACTTGACCTCTGATCTCACTTTTACATTTCACATCTGCCTTTGTTTCAGGTTGACCCCAATCGTTTCCTAGATGTGAAGGCACCAGAGTTTGAAGCTTAGTTTCAAAGACAACAGACATTTTATAAAAGCTGACCTTATTTAACTTTGAGGAAGAGATGAAAGGTCCAAAGTAAGGCGATATGTAGAATCCCTACTTTGGCCTACTGATCTGAAGGTCACATACACAAACACACATGGATGGCATGTTAAAGTAGTACATGTATATATATTAAGTATAAGAACCAGTCCATGTATGCACACACACTCACCAGGAAGCCAGAGCCCCACAGTCCTGTGGCCCAGGTAGCCTCTCTAGTCACATGACCGTCCAACAGGAACTGGATCTTCAGCTCAGGAACCAGTAGCAGGATGTTGCACAGTATGCAGACAATCGCCATGGGAACTAGAGACACGCCCACACATCGCAGACACCTTGATACGCACATCTAGATTTTTATAGAAACTGCACATGAAAACAGTCATGAGATTAACCGGCGAGTCTGAAGGTAAAAACACATCCTTCATAGTATTATCATTTCTTCTAAACTAAATATCTAACATCCGACTCCTGTAATTTTAATCGCATTATCTGACTCTTCTAATATGACTCTGTAATCTTGGTAGTGTGGTTACTCTAATCCAGACCTTCCCAAAGTATGGGGCTGCCCCCTAGGGGGGGTGCAGAGCCATTGCAGGGGGGGCGCGGTATGAAAAGGGGTGGGAAAAAAAACAACGCTTGGACACTGCTAGCACGGGGCGGCCACAGAAACGCAAAGCAGGAGCTGAAGCGTCGCTGAATATGTTTCCAAACCAACTTCATTCTAAGCCAAAGACTAGAAAATATGGTGAAGCAAATCTGCCCTTTGGCTTCACCTGCACAAGTGCTGAGGTAGGTCTCCCTGCAGGGTTGGTTTTCCCTGGGTTCTCCAAATCACGGACAAACAGGATCCCACATTCTTGATTTTTAGTTCACAAACACTTGTTGTAATGACTAACTACTCCTGACATGTTGGAGATGTTTGCTCTTTATACAGTAAAGTTACAGCAGGATGCAAATAACATCAGGCTGATCCTGCCACGATTTGTTCCCTCGGTTCAAACAAACAGGATCCCACATTCTTGATTTTTAGTTCACAAACACTTGTTGTAATGACTAACTGCTCCTGACATGTTGGAGATGTTTGCTCTTTATACAGTAAAGTTACAGCAGGATGCAAATAACATCAGGCTGATCCTGCCACGATTTGTTCCCTCTGTCACAGACTAACAGGATCCCACAGCTGTTTATGTTTTTAAACCCATTTTGCACAGAGAGGCATTTTTGAAAAATGTATTGATGCAATGTTGAACATTATTACACAGGAAAAAACCAACTGCACGTAAAATAATCACACTGTGACGCCTCTGCCTTTGTAGATGGAGGGACAGTAACTGCGTGTAAAACCTGCAGACAGTCAGATTAACAGTATTTCGTCTCTATCTGCCATTCTGTGATTAATCTCCTGTAAACAATAACGTGGCCACAGCGTGACGTGAAAAAGGCACATACCTTTGACGCTGCCTGACGAACTCTGTATTCTTCGTCCACACGTAAACGTAAAAACTGAGTTTTAAAAAATCTCAGTTTTCGGTGATTCGAAATGCCGTTTAGGTGGACGAAACAGCTGCGTGTTCAAAACCACCCGTGTAGGTGCGGACGCAGCGTAAAAGAGTTTATTTTATTACTGCCTGTAATTTATTGCTGTTTACTTGTATTTGCTTAATTGTTTACAAAATGTTTGAGGTGTGAAATAAACCGCAATGGAGCAAAATGTGTGCGTGTGTGGTTGGAGGATGTGTGTGTGCTTGTGCGCACGCGGGAGGGGGGGAGCGCGAACATTTTCCTTGTAAAGCAAAGGGGGGCCCAGCAAACAAAGTTTGGGAACCGCTGCTCTAATCTGACTCCTGTAATCTGTTTTTTGTAATCTTGCTCCTATACTCTGACTCTAGTCTGACCCTGTATTCCAGCGCCTGTAATTTGCCGTAATATGCCTCCTGTGATTTGACCCATATAATCTGGTTCTATAATGTCTTTCAATATGACTCCTGTAATTTGACTTTGTGATCGGGTTCCTGTAAAATGAGTCCTCGTTTCAGATTCCTGTTATTGGATTCCTCTAATTATGCTGTGATGTGACTCGTTTAATCTGGTTCTTTAAAAACTTATTTATAAACTTACAAAATCATCCTTGAAATGTCATTGAAATAATCACATTCATATTTCTGTCAATATCAGTAAAGTCATAGTCTGAGTCGAGTCTGAATTCATTGAATAATCATTATTAATAATACAAACCTGTTTAAATAAAAACATTGATTCAATCATACAGATTAATAATCACTCATTCTTCAATCCTCGAGTGTTTAAATCACTAAATAATAATATAATTACAAAACTGTGTGATCATGTATCATTCAGGTCAAATCTCATCAAAGTAAAAGCATGAATAAAGGCTCCTTCTATTTGCACTTATATGTTGAAATTATTAAACTCATTTACAAATATAATTTCTCAGTTTTTAGTTTATTTAGTAAGATGATTTTTTAAATCTGTGACAGTACACAGACTTTGAGCAACAGTAATATGTTTCTATTAATAATAGCAGAAGTCGACTCACCGGGAAGGCTGACTGACGATCCACTTCAGACTCTGAGGAACAACCACAAATATCTATCAGCACATGCACCAGGACACGCCTCCCGCTATTACGCATGCAGGAAGTACAAAAGATGGAAACTTACCCTCAACAGGACCGGCTTGGTATCAAACTGGAAAAACAGAAATAAACAGGATGAAATCAGACCTACAAACACACACATGATGCGACGCAGCAGCTGGTGATTCTGCTTCTGTAGCTCAACACGAGGAGGGAGGTTTTTCAGGGTGGATTCCTATTAGTCGATTCTGTCACCACTGATCGTGACTGGTCAGCCGGACGGCATAAAGGTAGAACATGACTGGTCCCGATTACATCGAGGCCTTGAAAGACATGATATATTAGAAGGTAATTATTTGGAGGTTTTGGTGCATTTGTAGACAGAACTAAGTTCACAGCTCCAGAGGCTGGACTGAGAAAGACCTCCTAACAGTCAGGAGGTCAGAGGTCACAGGCCACTCAAAGATCAAATCAGTGCCTGTTCAGCTCAGATGTTTCTGCTGCTTTTCTCTGTAATCAAATCAAAGAGTTTTATTGTCACAGCACATGTGAGTGAAATTCTTGTGTGCCAGCTTCACAAGCAACAGAGCTGCAAAATGCAAGAAACAACCAAATATAAGAGCAGGAATGTGAGAATGATGAGACGTATGCAGGTTACTAGATACGTATACTCATTCATCCCACGTGTGTGGGTACAGACAGCAGCTGATCGGTTCTCAGCCCACAGTGGACAGGCGAGCTCACACTACATACTTCAGAGCGAGCGCCCGAGCTTATGTGAGTGAAAAAGAAAAATCTCAGTGAGACATCAGTTTCTGTGCCGCCTGTACGTCAAAGAGGCCACGCCCCTAATGCTACAAACTTTAAAGCTTAAACAGGTAAGATAGAAAAACATCCTCTTCTGATGAACTGGAGTAAACTTTGGTCCACAGCAGCGTCTCCTCTGGAGTTTTTGAGTCACAGTCCGAGGAACCTAAATGGCGAGCCGAGGCGCCCGCGTTGAAGCATCCTCATCAATCAGGCCTGATGTGGTCGACTTCCTCACATTTTCTCGTGGAGCTCATTAGGTCACACAGCGGAAACCATGACTCCTTGGGGATGTTGACATCAGTTACCAAGGTCACATGACCGCAGGGAACGCAGAAAGCCGTGTGGCGATGTAACTTCCTGTTAGACCATACGCAGTGACCTGGTTTCTGACCCCGAGTCTCTGACCTGCTGATGCTTTCTGTTCCTCAGTCTGAGGTCATGTCAAGTCAAAGTTTATTTATATAGCACATTTAAAAGACCAGTGTACATCAAAGTGCTTCACGATAAAACTGCAATGCGGGCAGAACAAATAGTACAATTATACTTAAAATTGCATTTACATGGTGTAGTGCAGGCCGAATGAAAGTCACACTAATTGTTTTCAAAAGCTAAGTTGAACAAGTGTGTTTTCAAATGGGATTTGAACGACTGAATTGATTCCGATGTACAGATTTCCACTGGGAGATTATTCCAGAGTCCAGGGGCAGCGATGGCAAAAGCACGGTCACCTCTGGTTTTTAAACGAGACCTTGATTGCATTAGGAGCAGTTGGCTGGAGGATCTTAGTGCTCTCTTTGGGTTGTACAGATCAAGCAGATCAGTTAGGTAGCTAGGGGCCAGGTTATTTAGAATTTTAAAAGTGAGCAGCAGTTTGAAATCAATGCGATATTTGATGGGAAGCCAGTGTAGTTTAGCGAGGACAGGGGTGATCTGCTCATGCATTCTGGTGCTGGTTAAATGGTAAATGGCCTGTATTTGTATAGCGCTTTGCTAGTCCCTAAGGACCCCAAAGCGCTTTACACATCCAGTCATCCACACATTGGCGATGGCAGCTACATTGTAGCCACAGCCACCCTGGGGCGCACTGACAGAGGCGAGGCTGCCGGACACTGGCGCCACCAGCCCCTCTGACCACCACCAGTAGGCAACGGGTGAAGTGTCTTGCCCAAGGACACGACAGACTGTCGGAGCCAGGGCTCGAACCGGCCTAATTGATAAAAGCTTTTTTTTTTTGCACAGTGGATGCTTGCTTCTTTAATTTAAAAGAACTATCCATGAGCACGCCGAGGTTACTGGCAGAATGAGAAAGAACCCATTGTATCAGTTAGCTGGCCCAGGGAAACGCAGCTATCAAAACAATAATTTCTGTTTTGCTTTCATTTAAGATAAGAGAATTCTGGGATAGCCAGTCTTTTAACCGCCTGCAGACATTCAAACAAAGGCAAGAATGTGGACGGGGCATCCAAATTTAGAGGAAGGTACATTTGGATATCATCTGCGTAGCAAAACCATCTAAAGGGTTCAAAAGTTTTAAAAAGCTGAAGTGTGATCTGTGTTTCTCTGCTTTTCCAGCCAATCAGGACACAGTACCTGAGTCACTTTGTAATGTCTAACGTTTACCTGGATTCTTTATTCTTCTACCTGTCTCTCACCTGTGGGAGCAGCCAGCAGACCCACAGTCCTCGCTCTGACTGCTGGATCGTTTCACACGGTTTTCGTTTATTCATGTATTTAATGTCAGTGTTTAATATGTCTCACACACACACACGTACACACACACACAGCTGTATGTGCAGATCTACATAGAATTAACTCTACTGTGAGACACACGTGATGTCATAGAGAGGCTCCACTGATGCTCCTTTGGGCAAAATAGTGAATGGGGAGTTGCTCGTTCGTTAGTGTCAGAAAACAGGAAACGATGATGGTGATGGTTTATTTCTCAGAAAAACAAATGACAAACAGGTTGACACGGCAGCCTCTTTAACCCCTCCCACTGTATGGCGCGGCCATGTGCCGCTTAAACAGGTGAGTGCTGCATTCAGGTGACCCTGGGACAAATAGAAACTCCCACTTTCAACATTCAAACCATAAAAATAAATCAGATGTAGCGTCACATGACCCACTGCAGTCAGCATGCAGCGTATCCCACAATTCCTCACATTCTATCATGTGACACCAGTGACATCAGCAACAACACTAAGGAGACACATTCACACACCACCTGACCAATCATCAACACGTTAACCAGACGTGGACGGGCTCTGGGCGGAGTCACAGAACCTGGGGCTGGAAATATAATGGTGAGTCGGTGTCATCTGGCAAATGGGTAAAAATAACCTGACGGCACTGAGTCCTCGCCAGCGCTTCCACCAGTGAGAAAGAAGCATTCCAGCTAAATGACGTGCAGAGGCATGAAGTCATCCTCCAGCAGAACTTTTCAAAGTAAAACACATGAACTCTGTTCACGATTCCCCAGTGGACGGTCGCCGTGTGCTCACCATGACGACTCACAGGTAAGAGGCAGCGGCATGTCCACAAACTTCTGGTCTTCTGTGTTTTAAAGTAACAACAGCGCTCAGGTTGACAGCTCAATTTATTCATGCTCCTGCAGGAAGGGGGGGAGGAGGAGCAGGCAGAGGACACCTCAGCTGCTGAAGAACATCTCAGTCAAAAGACTCTGTTTGCTCCCCTTCCCTGAGCAGGAGGCAGAGGGCTTGGCGGTACAGTTCTTTGGCGTTCTCCTGCAGGGTCTTCCTGGCATGATGGAAGCGCAGCCCTCCTCTTCCTCGGCTCGTCGGTGTGGGCGGAGCTGGTAGGCGTCTGTGGAACCTTTGCTTCTGTCAGTGGCACGGCGTTTCTCCTCCTGGTCGAGCTGCTTCTGTAGGATGAAAGCGAGCCGTCTGTCCTCCTCCTCCTGCCTCCTCCTCTCCTGTAGCTCCTGTTCAGCCGCCTCCAGCAAGGAGAAGGAAGAGGAGCCAAGGAAATGGGCAGAGACTCGCTTGGTGTCTGCTGTCACCTCCTCTGTGGCCTCCAGCTCCGAGCTCTTCCTCTTCACTGATGAACATCCTCCGTCTCTGATTGCCTTACTCCCTGGTTGATGCTTGGCCACCTCCTCGGGTGGGCGGAGCTCAGTCTCAGGCCCATAATAATCCAGCTGAGGTGGTCTTTGTTCTGCCGGTAGCGCTGCCTCTGAAACAAGGATGTTCTCCTGAAACAGAAAGGCTGTTGTAATTTGGTGTTATATAAATAACACTGAATTGAACAGAAGTTCAAACTCACCTTGTTGGACACAAGGCTGGAAGCAGAGCTACAGGTGGAGCTGGGCGGAGCCACTCGGGGGCACAGGAACCTGAAACAACAAATAGAGATGTGTGAGGTCATACAGATGGCGTTCCCGACACAGTGAGTCGTTTGTCCACGTTTGAGGAGGCACTTCCTGCTCAGCGATTTTAATTTCAGTTTGACGTCACATACTTTCAAGATGGCGCTGAAGCGACGGCGGCCTTTTGTCTATTCCAAGTCAAAGCCGCTGGCACTAAATACAAAGGCACAGACCGGCATGTGGCACAGCATACCGGCCAAGCTACAGAGGCCACGAGACGGGAGCGAAGCTGAAAGTGAGGAAAGCAGATCACCGGAGGCGATTCGAACCATCAATCCCGACAGAGACAGTGGGCGACTTGAACTCGCTACAGAACAAGATTGACAAACTCTCTGCTCAGAACAACCATCCGATCTACCGTGACTGCAGCTGCCTATGAGGAAATACACACAGCAAGACTGCAGACACAACACCCCGAAGCCTTCATTATTATATGTGGAGACCCTAACCATGTCACACTGGACTGTTTGTGGTCCCACACGGAGAAACAGGACAACTGGCCTACTGTATGCTAATGTGAGACATGCATACAAAGCCACGATCTCCCCCCACTAGGGAAGCCAGACCAGTGAGAACAAGCTGTCGCTGAATGTGGACAAAACCAAGGAGACTTCAGGAAGACTCGCTCCACCCACACACCACTCAGCATCCACGGTTCCACAGTAGAGACTGTTAACAGCACCAAGTTCCTGGGAGTACACATCTCAGATGACCTCACCTGCACCCCTAACACCAAGTTAAAGTTCAAGGTTCTTTATTTGTCACATGCATAGTTATACAAGTATAACACACAGTGAAATGTAGCCTGACACGCTCCTCGACATGTGCAAAGAAATGGGGGGGTGGGGGGGGGTGTAGAGGAAGAACATATATATACACACACACACACACACACACATATATATACACACACACACACACATATATAGGGGGGGGAAATAGGATCTCTGCTATATACTGTATCTCTGCTATATACTGTACTGTATATACAGTATATAGCAGAGATACAGTATATAGCAGAGATCCTATTTCCCCCCCCTATCTATCTATCTATATATATATATATATATATATATATAGGGGGGGGAAATAGGATCTCTGCTATATACTGTACTGTATATAGCAGAGATGACAAAGTTTACTTTGACACACTCCAGGTCATGTGACTCTAACCAGTCTTTCTCAATGACCTTGATCTTTAAAACGGTCGCTTACTTCTCGATGTGTCCCACAGAGGCCGCCTTCTTCTTCTTCAGTGGTGTCACAGCAACATGACCCCTGTCCTCGAGAGGAGGAGGGTTCTGCCGAGGAGGGAAAGAGAGGGTGATAAATTTCCTCAGAGAAAGA